GATTCTGTTAGCTATGCTGGGTTCTACCAGGAGAAAAACACCGGCCTGAACTCGCATCGTGACGTTAATACCTGGACGGAAGAACTTCCTTCTACAGACGTTGAGAATTCCAGAGCTTTGGCTTTCTACTGATGAGAAATCAACTATGTACAGTTGGTACCATGCTATCTCGTCAAGTAACTTTTGCTCTTTCCCTCAGTGAGTCCAATTTCCGATTGTAAGCTCCCGCTGGCGATGCCGTTCCCGTGGAGGGTTTTGTGATAGGCTATAATACTTCCGCTCAAGACGGGTAGCGACTTCCTTGCTGATTAGTATCTTAATCATCATTTCGTTTTCGTTGTTGCGCTGCTACGCTCCTGGCTGCCAGAAAGCGATGAGCGGGTTCAATTCAATCCGCTATTGACAAAATAAATTTTGATACCAGAACCAAGTTTACTGATATTATGCTGGGATGCTCTTCACAGTAGCCCAACTAATGAGCTGAAAACTTGGAAATAAGATTTTTTGTCAACGTTAGAAAAGTTGAGCAAATAACATCAAGCGCACATTAGCCTGTGGCAAGCATGACACAGGAATGATGATTAAATCACAAACCGTGGGTCTGTATCAGAATCAATTCAAACAGTATTAATTTTCTCTTAGGTAAGGAGATGCTAAGCTCACCATTCTGAAGAGCGAGTATTATTTTGCTGCCAAAGATGACATGACACGAATATGACAAATATCAGCAATGGCTGAAACAAGAACTTAGTATTACACAGCTTTTCAGGCCAGTAAAACTAATGCAAGTAGTTATAACAGTACAAGGCCCCCAGAATAATTAATCTACCAGGTATAGTATAAAAAGGGAGATCCATGAAGTCAGCAATACGCCTAATCCGGTTGTTTCTGTCTTGTTCTGACTGGAAGTTTGGCGGGACAAATTTAAACCAGACTTATTTCACAGCTTCTTCGCTTATGCGTCCTACTGCAAAATGTAAATTTCAGAAACCTGGCTAAATATAATAAAGCAATGAAAACTGTCCATGCATCTGTTGTTTTGTATATCTTTTTTTTAGCAATACGCCCCATTATAGCATTACCATATGACTAAATGCTCTGATAACATGAGTAATTCCTGACCTTTTTTTCTAACTGCAGTGAAACTATCAAACTCTAAACGGGTATACAATTTTTTTCTGAACTCAAACCGAAAACATTCATAGCACCATATTTGGAATATAGTACGAGCAACGCAAAAGTTGAAAAAAAAATCGTTTAAACATTTCATAAATTCGTTAATACACGTTTATGTCCCAGAGAATTTCACTTAGTGATAAGCCATAACTAAGAATAAAAAGCAGCAAAGCATTGGCCTCTCACAAAAACGAGTAGCGGAATATAGATGGCGAACCCAATACATACACAACTCGAAGACACCATAAAATGAGAGCTCACTGTTGTCTACAACTTAATTTGAATTCTCGCGTAGTAAGAAAACGGTATCACGGACAAGAGTATTCTCGAGGCAGTTTATGCCTGTCTACCGTTTAATCACAGTCGAATCATTTTAATCAAACCACGGCTTTAAATCATTATACGTTGAATCCTATTTTTTAAAGATCACAAAGACTCCCTTTCCTAAAGGGAACATTAAGTGAAATCACTGCAGCAACAATTTCTAGTGATCTCGCCCTTGATTGTTTACTGATATAATTATCTAAAAACTGCGTAGTTCGTTTTTTCTACCCGTTATGTTTCTTCATAATGCAATATTAAATTTACGCAGTTTCCGGTGCCTGTGCTCAACTAAAGGGAAAAAATTAAATCAG